GTTTGTTTATGTATTCACACATGTATTTAGGTTTCCGATTAATATAATTCTAGCATGAATAATAAACCTTTATCATGAATAAGGAAAATATAAAATAACAACTTTATTATTTCCTCTAGGGCATATTTCCTTCAGTGCTCCCCTCGGAGCCCCCCTCTCGTACTTCTTTGGCCCAACAGGTGTCTTCTGATCCAAAAAAACCACCAAAAAGTTTCGCTGCGTTTGGACTCCGTTTGGTACTGATTTCCTGTGAAGTAAAAAACAAGCAAAAACAGCAACTAGCACTGGGCACTATTTCAATAGGTTAGTCCCAAAAAAAATATAAAGTTGTTACAAAATGATTGTAAAACATCCAAGAATGATAATATAACAGCATAGAACAATAAAATTATAGATACGTTGGAGACGTATCACATGCAACATTTTTCAACAACAAAGATCTTGCCTTTGGATCTGTGGTAGAAGGTGTACCCAATTGTTTCCTTAAGGTATCCTATGAAGACGCACTTCTCCGACTTGGGTTCGAGCTTATCAGGCTGAAGCCTTTTGACATAAGTGTCGCATCCACAAACTTTAAGAAATGACAGTTTAGGTTTCTTGCCAAACCATAGTTCATACAGTGTCGTCTCAATTTAGACGGTGCCCTATTTAACGTGAATGCGGCTGTCTCTAATGCATAACCCTAAAACGATAGTGGTAAATCGGTAAGAGACATCATAGAACGCACCATATCTAATAAAGTACGGTTACGACATTCGGACACACCATTGCGCTATGGTGTTCCAGATGGCATGAGTTGTGAAATGTTTCCACATTGTTTTAAATGAAGGCCAAACTCGTAACTCAAATATTCACCTCCGCGATCAGATCGTAGAAACTTTATTTTCTTGTGGGGGTGCCCATGGGCCCCGCTACCCACCAGGGCGTGCCTGAGGCTCCTGGCATGCCCCGGTGCCTAGTGGGCCCCACAAACATCCCCTTGTCAGAAGCTTCCTGGGTGTCTTCCTGCTAGAAAAAAATCTCTAAAATGTTTCGTGGCATTTGGACTTCGTTTGGTATTGATATTTTGCAAAGTAAAAACAAGCAAAAAAACAACAACTGGCACTGGGCACTATGTCAATAGGTTAGTCCTAAAAATGATATAAAGTTGCTAGTAAATATATACAAAACATCTAAGATTAATCATATAACAACATGGAAGAATAAAAAAATTATAGATACATTGGAGACGTATCAGACATAAGAGACACTAGAAGCTTCGTGAGGAGGCCAGAAGACAAAGGAGTGGTCCACAAGCCACATGGGCGCTCCCATGTGCCTTGTGGGCCCCTCGTTCCTCCGTTTGACCTAATTCCAACTCTATAAATTCTCTAAAATCGGGAAACCAATAGAGAGCCACCCAAAATACTTTTTCTGCCGCCGCAAGCTTCTGTTCTCGCGAGATCCCATCTAGAGTCCTTTTCCGACACTCTGTCGGAGGGGGAATCGATCACGGAGGACTTCTACATCAACCTTGCTGCCCCTCCGATGATGTGTGAGTAGTTTACCACAGACCTACGGGTCCATAGCTAGTAGCTAGATCGCTTCTTCTCTCTCTTTGATCTTCAATACAATGTTCTTGGAGATCTATTCGATGTAATCCTTTTTTGCGGTGTGTTTGTTGGGATCCGATGAATTGTTGGTTCATGATCAGATTATCTATGAATATTATTTGAGTCTTTTCTAAACTCTTTTATGCATGATTATTATAGATTTGTATTTCTCTTCGATCTATCTGTTTGGTTTGGCCAACTAGATTTATTTATCTTGCAATGGGAGAGGTTCTTTGTGATGGATTCGATCTTGCGGGTGCTCAATTTGGTACACTTCTACCAGTGGCGCCCTTTGGACACCTATATGTTCTTAAGGTCATTCATCCCCTCACAACTTAGTAGCTGACTCCTCTCACTTCAATGACCGCTACCTTCTTATCTTGCTTACCTTACATGAGAGAGATGGCATCCTCATTAGTGCCAAGTGGCAACCATCCAGACCCTGCACAACAACTGGAAACTACCTTGATATATCTCATATCTGGAGTTTCTATAGCATGTCATGAAGTATGACCGATATTAGCTATTTTTCATGACAAGAATCCACTCTCTTATAATCTAGATATTTTTAGAAGCTTCTTATCTTTGCCATGAATACTTTCTCTAGCATCTTGCATGACAAATATCTTGATCATTTGTTATTGCTCACAAGTATTATACAAGGCTCCAAGTATGCACCGCCTATTTTCGTTATTTATTTGTACTAACATATTTGAGCACCATAAGAAAACAAACTATGAGACACATATAACACCTAGAGGAAGTCTGGTTTTACATGTTGATCTTTTTTTCCCTACATTTATGTTGATAATAATTTATTTTTGCCAGACACAACTAAGGTAACATCTCTCTGATATCTTCTGCAATATTTGGACAAGATTAGAGATATAAAACTAAGGTAACATCTCTCTGATATCTTCTGCAATATTTGGACAAGATTAGAGATATAAGGCGCGAGATAATGTTCAAATTATCAAACTGTTGATTATACTTCAGATTTGCAGACACCATTATATTGACGTTCACATGGCTAGGTCAGCTTATTTCTGATTTGGCAGTTTTTCCCCTTTAACCTTTATACGGAACATGAGGAAACGAAAAAGGTTTTAAAATGGCTCTTGTGATTAAAAGAATACATAGTCATCACCAAATTCAAGCGATCAATTTATCATATTAAGTTATAGCAACTTTTGCAACATCAAAAGTTTGATATGAACAATGAAGCATTTTAACTTAAAATTGGAGTAACCCAAGTGTTCACACTAAATTGACACTGCCACTCACATAGTTTAGATAATTTATACATTTACTATCACTATTTCTCCATCATACGAATGATGTAGTTGATTTTCTTTTATCTAGTATTTTTTTAAACACCTTTTGCTTAAATGCTCATTGCAACACACGCATGGCATATGTTAGTAATAACTTAATAAGTGCATTTTTCCTAGACTTCACCGGCATCCTACTCGGCTAGCTCGTGCTACCAAGCACTGCCCCTTGGTGCTTGCAAAGACCCCCAGGAAGCACTAGAACAACTGCAACTTCGACGGCGAGCGGCCGTTGGTTACCCGTCTCTCCACCACCATCAAAGACAAGGCTCACCTTTGGGCAAAGGCCGGTTCAACCGGGATCAAAAACATCATCCACGAGAGTTAGCCTCTATCCGATGGGGGATGAGCAACCCCTAGCTATATGTCCAACGCTTGCTACCAAGCCCTGGGCCCAAAAAAAAAATTCGGCGCGAGAGAAAAACTTAACGTCCATCAGGCTATAGCTACCTCAAATATGGCTCAATTACACCAAAAATTTAGAATTTAAACTCAATGCTTATAAAGATACAACTAAACAGTGTCTTACTATACGTGATAAAAACTACAAACAGTACGTGATAAAAAAGAGTACCAAATCATTAGCAGTACTTCAGCCCTCTCAGGCAGCCCCTTGATCACTTGCGGGTGTAGACACTTCCATTGCGGCCACCGATGAATAAAATATGTTCATCTTTTATTTCTATAAAATAAAATGAAATTGATATCAACAGCAGCAACAGCATTCACTTTCAAATTCAATTAAAATGTAATTGATTTTTCGACAGCAGCAGCAACCATTAGCAGTACTGCAGTAGCACATCCACACATTAGCATATGAAAAATTGTACTGCAGTAGCACATCCACACAGCTGCAGCAACCATTCATGATTCATTATCATCAGGACTGATTAGCATAGACACATTAGCACATCCACACAACAGCAGCAGCCATTACTAGTATTCAGTACCATATCCATTCATTAGCATCAGACCATCAGTATTGGGATTTATTGGAGATGCACTTGCTGTATGAAGAAAGCTTGAAATTACCCCGGCTACAGTCGGGGCAGCAGTTGCGCGGGGGAGACCGGGAGGCAGGAGAGGCCGGCAGGACTGGAGGATGGAGCAGGGCCGGAGCAGAGCCGGCGCGGCGGCGCCCCGCGCCCGGCTGGAGAAGCAGAGCAGGCGAGCCAGGCGAGCAGCGCAGCCGAGCAGGCGAGCAGGGCTGCAGCCTGCAGGGGACTGGACGGGAGCGCCGGAGTCAGGGGAGGGGAGCAGACGAGCAGGGGAGTGCAGGGGAGTCACCGGCGGGCGCCGGCGCCTGCCTCGGCTCCCTGGAGGTCTGGAACTCACGTCGCGTGGTTAGGTCTGGTCGTCTGGGGCTCTGGGCGTCTGGCTCGGGCTGCTACACCCGCAAGATGGAGAGGCTGGCCTGGGCCTTACCTGCGTGTTGGGCCACGCCCCGGGCTCATTCAAAAAATATGGATAATAATAACTAAAAAAAAAAGCCACGCCCCGGGCCTGGGCCCTGGGGGCCTGGGGCCCAGATCCGCCCCTGCCTCTGTGTACATGGCCTCATGAGCGGTTGTAATCTCATGCTGTAACTCTTCGCCTATTAATGAAAAGATACGCAACATTGCCTATTCACGAAATAAATGCATTTTTCATGACATGAGGTGAAAGACACTATTCTTCTCTGAAAATAAAATACTGGTGGATGCGATATCAGCGCCAGACTAGCTATTTTTGTTGTTGGTGAAAATGCCAAGGGTGCAGAGTTTATGTATCCAATCCAGACCACAATATCCAAGTTAATTAACTCATCACAGCTTCAAACTGAAGCTAGACACTAGGACAAATACCGGAAAGATTCCTTCGCCAAAAGGGAAGAAAGAATACCGGGAAGAAAGCAGGAAATTACAAGCAATAAAATACAAGAAGCAAAAGATATTATCGTCTCAGAGGGGGGTAGAGACAGTCAAACTATTCCACCGTGTCCCTTTCGCCCTATCCATCGCCTCGCCACAGAATCTGTATAGTGTATATATAAACAGCCTCCAAGCCGTCGAGACACAGAGCGAGGTACCGCGTTCCGATGAAGACGACAGGAGGAGTTCCCATGTCCGGACTTCCCTTCTTCCTCTTCCTCTGTCTCTTCTCCTTCTTCACTGCCTCTGCCTCTACCAAGCAAGGCCAGGTCATCATCTCGATCGATCATTCTATTTTTCGATGTTAATCAACAGATTTCTCACGGGTCTAATATAGTTTGACTTTGATTAGTTCATGGCCGGCAGTGCTACCCTTCATGATGCTGCTGTTTGGTTTAGCTCCCTTGTTATGCTTAATTTTTCCATGAACTTCCATGTCGCCGTTGTGGATATATATAGGTCTATATAGTGTATCTGGGCGAGGACGCCGCAGCGAAGTCGAAGGGGGCGATCCTTGATGATCACCATGCCCTCCTCCTCTCCGTCAAGGGCAGGTACGTACACGTCCATTAATCCATATGCATATGGTACATGGCGCCGCCGTGCACTGCTCATACACCGATCGTCCTCTACATTCGCTGTGTGATGCTTGCTGATAGCGAGTCACTCTGGCTTCGTGTACAAGCCGCAGCTAATCATTCACACGCTCTCTCTGTGGTTCACCAGCGAGGAGGAGGCACGGGCGTCGCTGCTGTACAGCTACAAGCACAGCCTGAATGGCTTCGCGGCTCTTCTCTCCGATGATGAAGCCACGAAGCTTTCAGGTAGTGCCCTGTCTTGAGAGGATTGAGGCAGTGACTGTCTACGGCGACACCAGGGATTTTCTCAAAAATCCAAACACGATAAATGATAATGCTGTGATGATGATTAATCCAACCACTGTTGCATGTCTTTGTGCGTGCGTTTGGCTCATGCATGTGGCGTATTCTGCAGAGAGGACTGAGGTAGTGTCCACCTTTCGGAGCGACGGGAGGTGGTCCCCCCACACCACGAGGTCTTGGGAGTTTGTGGGCTTGGAGGAAGGGCTCAGCAAGGGCTGGCTGCCGTCCGGCGCTCACACCGGCGAGAATGTCATCGTAGGCATGCTGGACTCCGGTGAGAAGGCTCTGCTGAATACAGTACTACTGAACTGCTTTGGCAAAACAGGGGGAATGAAACTCAACTGCCATGACAAGAAGCGATTGTTTGACGCTGCAGGGATCTGGCCGGAGTCAAGGAGCTTCAGCGACGAGGGGCTAGGACCAGTGCCCCCGCGGTGGAAGGGGGCGTGTCAAGGAGGAGACTCCTTCAATTCCTCCTCCTGCAATAGGTAATTAAATCGGCTGCTTGTGGGTTTATTCGGGTATAATCAGCTCTTGGTAGTTAATACGAGATAATACGCATTCATATGTATACTTGTGCGCACCGCATCATGCATTCGTGGCCCTGCTTTTCCGTGAGATTCCATGGACGCCTTGCTGGAACATTGGTTAGTCGGTCTATTCAGGCTAGTGTTTTGGGTGTGTTGCTGCAGCTGAAAATAGGGGTCATATCCCGAGGCGTCTTGCCATCTTCCATCGTGTGACCATATCGATCGACCACTTCGTCAAACTAAAAATCATAACAATATCGAACTAAGACAACTTACAAAACAAAAGGCAGGCATCAACCTATGATTGAGATGACAAGACAGTGACGACTGACGACCAAAGGAGAACCACAACCACACACACGCACCTAGCCGGTCCACGATGTCGATGTACCCAAACTAGAATCTTACGGCGTGGGTGCCTGCACGCTTCAACCGGGACCAGACCGTGCACGTCCCAACAAAAACCCGAGATGGTGGGCCAGCTTGGGAGCAAGACTCCAGCTTGGCGCCTTCTCGACTCAGTGCAGTGCACAGCTTGTTTTGTAATCTCTACCTGCATGGCTTAGAGCATCTCCAGCCGTTTGGCGCCCGGAACTCAAATTGTGCTGCGTGAAGGCTATCCGGCGATTTATTTGTCGTGGGGACGTTCGGATTTCCAACCACCGTCCCAAGTTGGTCCCAGGCACTGTTTTTGAAAGTCAAATTGGGTTCAAATATGAACAAAATAACTCGATTTGGACGAAATTTAGGCGTTTTCGTTTATATTTGTACAAATTTAAAGAAATACATAAAAACATAAAAAACGACGCCGACGCCGCCGACGCCGCCTCGAGCCTACTTCATGCCAAGAAGCTGGTAGAAGGCGGTGTAGTAGTCGTCGTCACCGTCGTCCCGCACGTTGTCGTCCTTGCTGCAGCCATGCCCCGAATTGCCGCTGCGGATGGGGAGGACGATGGTGCCGCCCTCGTCGCGGTTGCGGCGCCGCGTGGCGATCTCCTCCAGAGCGCCGCACTGGCGCTCGATCTCCTCCCACACGTAGTCGTCCCGGGACCACTTCAGCCGGTGTCGAGGTCGGCGGCCATCTCGACGGGCTCCTGCTTGACGACCACGGGTGTCACCGGCTCCGTCTTCGGCCTGACCAGACGAAGATGGTTGCGGGGAGGATGTGAAGGTTGGCGGCGGCCCTCGTTTTATGACGAGGTTATCGCCGCAGCTGCGCCAGCGCTCCGGCGTCTCCAGGGGCTCGGGCTTGACGACGGCGAGCGACGTCGTGCTGGAGGAGCTGGAGCCGGAGAAAGAGGAGGATGCCCTGCCATGCGCCTCAGCAGCCACGAGATGCCGCTCAGGCGCGAGAACGAGGGCGCCGGGTACTCCAACGGCGGCTCGTTGCCGCCCTCAATGTGCTCGAGGACAGCGTGGAGCGTGCGCCCTGGGACACCCCACCACTGACGCCGGCTGTCGGAGTTGTGGCACCCCCTTGGCGCCGGAGCACCGTTGGTGGATGCGAGCTGGTCGGCGTGGCGGCGCTGGTAGTACGCTGTCCACAAAGTGTGGTTGTCGGAGTCGTACTTCGGCTGCTGTCGCGCTTCCTCCGGCAAGGACGCCTGGATCCTCGCGATCTCGCCGCGGCGTTTGGCGGCGGGGGCATGAGGATGCCACCGACGCTGAGCCTCTATGCGCCCGGCACGCGCATGTCGGGCAGCGCCGGGTAGTCCGCCTCGTGGAGGACGCGTGCCTCCCACTCGTGCAGCGACCGGCGGCCCAGCCGTTGGCCGCCAATCTGTCGTCGGGGAATCATTCTGCCATCTCGGGGAGGGGGAGATGGGGAGGCTTCCAGCGATGGGGATTGAGGCCAGAGAGGGGGGTTCCGGCGATGCGACTGTGCGGCGAACGGTGGCAGAGGCACGACTTTTCTAGCCAGGGAAGGGCGGGAGCGGTGCTACCACACGATGGGAAAGGGCGGGATGCGTGGCGGCTCGCCATCACTGCGCCTCCAGACCTTGGAAATCGGCACGGGAGCCGAGGTGATGAGAACGATGAAGGTTCTCGGTGTCGCCCAGTCGCTGACTCGGCGGGTCCATGTGGGAGGAATTTGTTTTCGCGCCAAATTCCTTCCCCCCCCCAGCGCGCTGTGTTCGATCTGGGTTCATCGGCACCAATTTCGGCCCTAACCGACAAAATTTGGGCTCTCTAGGGCACGACTGATCTATTTTTTCTACAACCGGCGATGAAAAAGGACATATGTCCTCTTGGGGGCGGCTCGAGATGCTTTGTTAGAGCATCTCCAGCCGCGCACCCAACAGGCCCTCCCCAGGTGTTTTTTCCGCGTCGGTGCCGAAAAAATGCCCCAGTCGCGCCCCCAGGATGCCGAATTCCGCCGACTCGGCTGTTTTTGCGCCCGGCGATCGCAGGCCGAACTCGGTGCACTGGGGGCGCTTGGGGGCTCCGGCGCAAGGGGAAAGCGCTCTTGGGGCCACATTGTCAGGCGAAAAGTCAAGCCACCCGTCCAGATTCGCCTCCGACCCCCCTCCCCCCCTGCGCTTGGCCGCCACCCTGCCGATTCCGGCGCCGTCCACCACCCACCGCAGCTAGATAGATCAATCCCCGCAGGAAAAAAGAAGAGGTTTCGCCGAGGCAGCCTCCGCCGCCGTCCGGGCAACTTTTCTGGCGTTTCGGCTGCGCAGGGCCTGTACACCGGCGGGTTTGCGCCCACCTCGCCCGCAAGGTGTTCAGTTATTTGCCCGGCCCGGTGTTGGACTCCGAAGACGAGGAGGCGCTCGCGGCATTGCTGGAGGAGGAAGCTGAAGCCGACGTCCAGGAGCAGGAGCATCTCATGGTGCTCGCCGCCCTCGTCGGCCTGCTCGCGAGCAGTGAAAAGCCGCAGCGAGGTGGCTCGGCGCCTGGGCGGGTGATAGCAAAGAACCAGCATTGTCTGGAAGGCTACTGCATGCTCTACTCGGACTACTTCATCGACGCTCCATTGCACGGTGAGAAAACATTTCGGCGCCGTTATCGGATGAGCCGAAAGGTTTTCCTCGGGATTGTGAATTCCATCCGAGAGTTCGAAAGCTACTTCAAGTGCAAGATGGATTGCACCGGCACACTTGGATTCACCTCAATCCAGAAGTGCACGATAGCTGTGGGGATGCTTGCATACGGAGCTCCCAGTGATGCACTCGACGACTATGGGCGCATGGCCGAGTCCACCACCATTGAGTGTTTCTACAAGTTCTGCAGGGCAGTGGTGGCAGTGTTTGGACCGCAATACTTGCGAACACCCAATGCGGAAGACACTGCTCAGATCCTAGCACAGAATGCAGCAAGAGGATTTCCTGGGATGCTTGGAAGCATCGACTGCATGCATTGGAAATGTAAGAACTGTCCATTTGCTTGGCAGGGATTGTACAAAGGCGCCAAAGGCGGTTGCAGTGTGGTACTTGAGGCAGTGGCCATACAGGACCTCTGGATTTGGCACTCTTTCTTTGGGATGCCAGGAACTCACAATGACTTCAACGTCCTGCAGTGCTCCCCTTTCTTTGCCAAGCTTGTTGAAGGTCATTCTCCTCCGGTGAACTTTGAGGTCAATGGGCGGCACTACAACAAGGGGTACTATCTAGCTGATGGCATCTATCCGAGATGGTCGACATTTGTGAAGACCATCTCAAACCTTGTGCCAGGAGGCAAGAACGCCTTCTTTGCGAAGGTTTAGGAGGCTTGCAGGAAGGATGTCGAGCGGGCATTTGGTGTGCTCCAATCTCGATTTGCCGTTGTCCGGTTCCCTGCTCAGACCTGGTCGAAAGATCAAATGTGGGAGATCATGACTTAGTGTGTCATCTTGCACAACATGATCATTGAGAGCGAGCAGGAAGAGCCAGTGTTTGACACTGAACCATATTACAGGCAGGGTCCTTTTGCCCAAGTTGATCACCAGCTACCGGCAACCTGGACTGACTAACTCAATATGCGTCAGGAGATCCGAGACCCACAGGTGCATCAAGAATTGCAACACGATCTGGTGGAGAACCTATAGAGGCTCAAGGGCGAGGCCGGGGCGACGCGGGAATGACGTGTGATGAAACTTGAGTTTTTATTTGTTAAACTATATAATTTGTATTAAACTATTTGTTGAACTATTTGCTTTATGTGATGAAACACGCCGAACCATGCCGAACTATGTGTATTTGTATATGAAAAATCATGCCGAACCGCGCCGAATATGGGCCGATTCACGCAGATTACCGTTTTTGGACACAATTAAACCGAATACTGGGCCGATATCGGCGCCTGGGGGCGACGGCTGGGTGCCCAACCGCCCGGCGTCGAGTATACCGCCGGCTCACCAACAGGCCGCTCTTTTTCAACGCCGTGTGGGCCGACCAGCTGGAGATGCTCTTAGCACTAGCAAACGTACAAACTGCGGTAGAGTAGTTTTCTCTCTGATGCAGCTGCGGCGGCAGATTAGGTAGAACCCCGTGACGCCTTCCTCGCAGTCCGTGTAAAACGAGATCCCTGTCAGTCTGACAGTGTCAGATGTTACTCCCTCGAGAGTTGCAGAAAAACCGTCGTGATATCATGCAAACTTGTTTAATCACATGCTGTAAGCATAGGCCAAATCCGATAATTGTTAACCTCGATTTGCGTCACTGACACTGTGCTTGTCCATACGTACGTGCACCTTTTTTTTGAGATACAGTTATAATCATACGTACGTACACAGGAAGGTCATCGGCGCGCGGTACTACCTCAAGGCGTACGAGGCCCACCACGGCAGGCTGAACGCCACCAACGCGTACCGCTCGCCTCGCGACCACGACGGCCACGGCACCCACACCGCGTCCACCGTCGCGGGCCGCACTGTGCCGGGCGTGGCGGCGCTCGGCGGGTTCGCGGCCGGCACGGCCTCGGGCGGCGCGCCGCTCGCCCGCCTCGCCATCTACAAGGTGTGCTGGCCCATCCCGGGGCCCAACCCCAACATCGAGAACACATGCTTCGACGCCGACATGCTCGCGGCCATGGACGACGCGGTCAGCGACGGCGTCGACGTGATGAGCGTCTCCATCGGGTCCTCCGGGAAGCCGCCCCGGCTACCGGACGACGGCATCGCCGTCGGCGCGCTGCACGCCGCCAGGCGCGGCGTGGTCGTCGTGTGCAGCGGTGGGAACTCTGGCCCCGCGCCGGCCACCGTGTCGAACCTTGCACCGTGGATACTCACGGTCGGCGCCAGCAGCATCGACCGCTCTTTCAACTCCCCGATCACGCTTGGCAATGGCATGGTGATCATGGTAAGCGCCTAAGGAATTTGCATGTCACGTAACGTAGTACACTATCTTGTTCTCTTGTAAGCTGGACTGACGCGTGATTTACCGTACTTTATTACCAGGGACAAACGGTAACACCATATCAACTGCCGCCGAACAGGACGTATCCAATGGTTTATGCAGCACAGGCCGTGGTTCCTGGCACTCCCGCCAACGTTACCAAGTAATTAACAATCCAACTGTACTGAATGAAATCTCTTTAAAAATATACAGCATTAGTGCTAACAATCACACAAGCTAATTGAACAAGGTTCAAATTTGGTATTTGGACGCAGCCAATGCCTGCCGAATTCGCTCTCGCCGCAGAAGGTGCGAGGCAAAATCGTGGTGTGCTTGAGGGGGAGCGGCCTGAGGGTGGGCAAAGGCCTGGAGGTGAAGCGGGCGGGCGGCGCGGCGATTGTGCTCGGCAACCCGCCATTGTACGGCAGCGAGGTCCCCGTCGACGCGCACGTGCTCCCCGGAACGGCAGTGTCCATGGCCGACGTGAACACCATCCTCAAGTACATTAACTCCAGCGCGAACCCAACCGCTTACCTGGAGCGCTCGAGGACAGTCGTGGACGTGAAGCCGTCGCCGGTGATGGCGCAGTTCTCGTCGCGTGGCCCCAACGTCCTCGAGCCCAGCATTCTCAAGGTACGTACTCCCGTGCGCAAACGGCATGCATTTGTATTTGCATCTTCTCCAGACGGATATGTTATTGGTTACTAGCATGGTGTTATCTATCTGTGCTGTGCTAACTGCATGCGATGTGTGCGTGCAGCCTGACGTTACGGCGCCGGGCCTGAACATCCTGGCGGCGTGGAGCGAGGCGTCGTCGCCCACAAAGCTCGACGGCGACAATCGCGTGGTGAAGTACAACATCATCTCGGGGACATCAATGTCGTGCCCGCATGTCTCCGCCACCGCCGTCCTCCTCAAGTCTGCCCACCCCGACTGGAGCGCCGCCGCAATCCGATCAGCCATCATGACCACCGGTAATGTCTGATTTTTTTTTTCACGAATACGCAACGCCATTTGTATTGGGCCGGGTTCTGCTTTTCTTTTCTTTGATTGAGAATGCAACTTGTGCGCTGTGTGTGTGTCGTTCTTACAGCAACAGCTAACAACGCGGAAGGCGGCCCAATAATGAACGCGGACGGAACGGTGGCGGGGCCCATGGACTACGGCTCGGGCCACATCAGGCCCAGGCACGCGCTGGACCCGGGCCTCGTGTACGACGCGTCCTTCCAGGACTACCTCCTCTACGCCTGCGCCAGCGGCGGCGCGCAGCTCGACCGCTCGTTCCCGTGCCCGGCGACCCCGCCGCGTCCGCACGAGCTCAACTACCCTTCCGTCGCCATCCACGGCCTCAACGGGTCCACCACCGTGCGCCGGACGGTGACCAACGTCGGCGAGCACGGGGCGCATTACAGCGTCGCCGTGGTCGAGCCCATGGGCTTCTCCGTGAAGGTCTCGCCGACGAGCCTCGCCTTCGCACGCGCCGGGGAGAAGAAGACCTTCACGATAAAGATCGCAGCGACGGAGAAGAGAAGTCGGCGTCCGAAGAGGAAATATCTGGCAGGCTCGTACACGTGGAGCGACGGAGTCCATGCTGTGAGGAGCCCCGTCGTGGTTCTCGTCGCGTGATCGTTCGCTCTTGCCATTACTGGTACTGGCCAGATTGAAGAATAGATGATGAACACGTACAAAACTATTGTGAAATCTATGCGGGTCACGAGCCAAAACTACTCCCTCGTTGTGCATGTGCTGTACGCCAAAAGGATGGTGGGTTCGTGTCCCGTTCTGGAGTCTCGGGATGCCAATGGCTGCGCGCATCCGCATCCTTATCCACGGACCACACCGTGCGTGCGCCACTGTCAGTCTTCACCGGCGCCCGTGGCCTGCAGGCCAACCACACCCATTGTCCAAACCCCGCAACGTTACAGGTGTATGACCAGCAGCGGTAGTTCACGCCAACACGACACAGTCCGCGTGCTTTCGTGCATGATGCCACAGTAGAAAGCCGTCGACGCGGGAGTCCTCGCTAGAGTCCAGGATCGCAGGATATACCACGAGCCCACGCATGTACGGACCGCTGGTAGCTTGTCTTTTTTCCGTTCCAGCGCGCGCTGAAAATTCTGGGGCTGCTTGGATATTCTCTATCGACATAAAGTTCGCGAAAACGATGGCAAGAGTGACGCTCCACTTTGTATTCACTTGCACAAAGATTTTTACCAAGTTTATATACCTTAGTACTGCAGTAACATGCATGGTCCTTAAGTGTAATTTCTGGAAGAAAAAGAGAGCTGCCAGAAACTTTCGGCGCGATGATTTGGTGTGGGGATTTCTCACTTCTGAGAGTGTCTGAACCCATCAACAAGCTTACACAGGCTTGCCAGCACCTGAAACTTTTGTTGAACTAGATGATCCGGTTGCGCCAATGGCGCAAGAACCCAGTTAGAAACGATGTTAGTAGGGAGTAAGTAGATGTAGATGGCTCAAGAACCCAATTAGAAACGATGTTAGTAGGGAGTAAGTAGATTAGATGACAATGTAATATGAATTGTATTAATTTAGATCAACTTTCAGATGGAAACAATATATTGTTCGGAAGGGGGAGTACTGTTACGTGTATACAATGTCAGATACAATAATAGTGTTCTAAGCATGCAGTTTAGTATCAATAGTATCTGCGTTCGTAGTGCGAAACTATACATAGGTAACCGGACAGCTCGATCGGTTTCCTTATTGAATGTATAGTTACGTGATTGATTTTGCTTATTCTAGGATGAGAATCGTTTCCAACTTTTATTAGAGAAAAAGATGAGAATCGTTCATACATGTCATGTTATTTTTTATGTACGTGCTTACTGTTGCGTGTAATGTTTTCATCTTTTAATCTGAGTCATTTTGATCAAAATCAACAGAATATATATTGTTAGCATATGTGGACGAACGTCATCCCTTGTTTGTCTTCTGAAGAAATACCTCATGTCAACGATTGAAAGATCTAGCTTGCCACGTCATTATAATTCGTCATTGACCTATTATATATTGAAATTCATTGTTAGTTAGAAAGAGGAAAATTCGCTATAACATCTTGCAAAAATAGGTAAAATATTTGGTGGACCACATATAAAAATTTACAGTTTGGACAGTCCAGAGAAGACAAAATATGCTAGAAAATATCATATAAATATAAAAGCAAAACATGAATAATTCGTACACTGACCTATTATATATCAAAATTCATTGTTAGTTAGAAAGAGGAAAATTCGCTAGAACATCTTGCAGAAAGTAGGCAAAATATTTGGTGGACCACATATAAAAATTTACAGTTTGGACAGTCCAGAGAAAACAAAATATGCTAGAAAATATCATATAAATATAAAAGACAAGCATGAATAATTCGTACATTGACCTCATTGACCTATTATATATTAAAATTCATTGTTAGTTAGAAAAGAGGAAATTTCTCTAGAACATCTTGCAGAAAGTAGGCAAAATATTTAGTGGACCATACATAAAAGTTGCAGTTTGGACGCCCAGAGAAAACAAAATATGCTAGAAAATAGTATCATATAAATATAAACGCACAATATGAGAATTTCATTTGGTAGACATTTTTTAATATCAATGTGTAGCCTTTAGATAGATATAAAAAAATGTAACCATACACTATACAACCTTTGATTCTTAATCAACCAAATCATATAAAAAATAGCCAACACATCGGTCATCTACGTAGGAAATATGTAGTTATTTCACAACAAAGTGCTCTCTCGCACACATGCATCATGCATATCCCATCTTGTATAAAAAAATGCCATGCATATTCCATCTACAAAATTAACATAAATGCATATACTCGGGCAAAAAACAATGTCTCATAAACGCATGCATAAATGATGTATATGTATCCAAGATGGTATGTTCCCATATTGTAGCTGCTACCCATGATGAATCAATTACTGTACGTGCCTAGCAAGAGAGAGATCAATCAAGACTGACCTGTTCACATGAAGACGCATGCGTACGTGTGTGTTTGTGTTGTGATCGCCCGAAGCTCCTTGACTCAACTTGACTGCGCCGCCACAACCATTGACTCAGCGACAACTCTGCCAGGCCATTGCGTACCTGTCCCGTGACATGCGCCATCGGCCGTCGCCTATGCGGCCGTCGTAGCCGTCGCCGCCACAGCCACTGTTTAGGTTATCTTCTACGATTCATAAACATCGATCCAGCCAGTAGCTATTCATATTCCTCCTCATGCCGGCAGTGCACAATCACGTACTTCTTCGATCATTGTTATGCCGGCAGCAGGCTCCACGTCCGTGCATCGGCGAGATCGCGCGAATCACGGTCACGTCATGGTCCTTGGCTTGTTGCTTCGAGAAGACAGAACCCTAGGTATGCATGCACGGTCAATCAGGAAATATTCATGTATTTGGCCTTGTCTAACTCATAATAGGCATCCTATGCCGGTACGCTAGAGCATGTTGGAGTCGTATTATCTACTCGTTCCAAATTACCTATACTTTCCGTGTCAATTTTTTTTTCTATAACACCCTTTCCGTGTCAATCTGATTTGATCTGATTGCTTCTCCTATCCATAACGTTTGGCTTCGGTTGGAACATACTTTTGTACGTGACGTCCTATATTGTTTCTACCTAAGTCTATTTTGTATGTAACGTTTACACCTTTAAATCTGAACCCTTAATATCTAAAATTAGCGGTCAAGATAATTTAATCTGTGTGGGCTAACGTAATGGCTTGTTTGACTCTTGTTTGAAATCAAAAAATAAATTAAATTGGATATAATGGTTAGTAGATGCCTGTATCCAAATGGATTATGTTACAATGTACTAACCACTTGGTGTTTTTCAGAAGAAATATCTCATTAGTAATAATTTTGAGCCGGCAGTAGAATATTATCTGTTACTGTTGAATTGGATTTCTGTTTGTGTGTGCACGTGACCTCAAAGATAAAGAATACAACCATGCCAAGTGCTGAGAGACAAAAACACAGCCAATAATTGCTTCACCAACTGCCACCACGACGCGCAGCGCTGACCACGTGTCTAGCATGACTGCTGGTCTTGGTTCCATCGACCAGTTCAAGGTATGCGTCATGTTCCTCTCCCCACTGTACTGAAGTGAGAACACCTTGGGCTCCATCTTCGCGGTGGATCACACTACAGCTTGGCAGCGGAGCGGCTCCTGCTGCAGCTCGGAGGTGCTCCGGCTCCATCTGCATCTCAGCAACCCAGCAGCTCGGAGGAGCTGCGCCTCCATCTGCATCTCAGGCGGCCCAGCAGCTCCCGCTGCAGCTCGGAGCTGTGGAATCGGCATATGGCGCCACCCTTGCTTGTATCCGCGACTCACTGTGAGTGGAAACAGAATCTCATTATTATTCTCGTAGCTGATTGGAGTAACTGCTGGCCTTTCAACAGGATGATCAACAAAGCATGTTGTTGGTCAGGGTTGATTAAAATCAAGCTTCCTTGCAGGTCCAGGCTCAATCAGTTGAGAATTCCTAGAAGGTCTGGACTCAACCAAATGAAGCTCCTCTGCAGGCCCAAGTTGAGTACTGGACTCAATCAAATCAAGTTTCTTTGTAGGTGCGGACTCGACCAAATCAGGCTTCTGTAATGGTCCTCGTTCGATTTTTTCAGGAGGTCCAGACACAATCAAATCAGGCTTTGCTGCAGATGACTCAGATCAAATCATACTTCAGTATGCTCACAGTAATCACATAAAGTAAACTACCATTTGAGGTGGATTCACCATCCGGCAGGCTTTCGCCATTGCTTCTGCTGCACTCATCATCATGCTGGCTCTGGACATTGCTCTCACTGATGCATCACCATGTGGACTGTCAGTGTTATAAGGAGCATGCTGGCGGTAAGTGGTGATCTTGGAGACTGATGATCTGACACTGACTCTAGGAATCCCATCCACAGGTCCGAGTTCAGTACTCCTAGAAAAGGTAATTACTATTGCTTCCTCCACGGGTCCGAATTCAGTACTGAAGAATCTGCTAAGGTAGGCTACCAGAAAAGAACGCCAAAGAAAGTGTTAGAAGTACATTCATGTTCACTGTGTTGAACATAACTGGTTCAGGATTATGAAGCTATACCATCGTGTACCGAAAGCGGGAGACACCCAACACAAAACTGTATACATGGTACACTTTTATTTTAGTTTGTACAGTTTTGTACAGTTTTGTGTTAAGGCATGTTAAGGTACTGTTGTAGTAGGACACCTACTCACAAAATCTTTGTTGGGTGTCTCCGAAATAAAACTGTACCTTAACATAATCCTGAACCAGTTATGTTCAACACAATAGAAATCCGAAATAAAACTGTACCTTAACACAATAGTTGTACCTTAACACAAAACTGTACAAACTAAAATAAATACATGTCAACATGCCTAATAACTTTGAAAGTCGGAGTCCTACTACAACAGTTCACACTCAATAGTCAGAAGAGGCTAATTAAGGTACTGGTATAAGGTACTTAATTGTGATACCTAATATCTAGCCTTAAAGAATTTAGATAAGATGTCAAGGGTTCTTTAGTCTATAAATGGCACTCACCTGAACACTAAAGTCATGGTTGTCATTGCATAGCTCTAGACTAAATAATAAGGGCATAACCAAAAGATTTAAGCATTAGTGCATGAACGAAGAGAAAATAAACTAAGCCTATAATGTCCCATGCTATATGCGCACCAAATCAAGGTAACGGAAGATCACCCATATGAAAAACGGAACTATGCGAGTATAAATTTTTAGGAAAATGATAAAATGGTGAGATTCATTGGGTAGTAAGGATTACAAGCTCGGGTATGTAAATTTGAACAAATAGAAGATTAAGAAAGGAGAACACGCAACAAAAAAAGCTTGCAAAAAGTAGTAGTAATTTTACCTCGGTAACAGAAATAGTACCAAAAAATATTAGTTGGCATTTCCTCCGGATGGTGAATTTCCTGGAAAAAAGAGCAGTAGGTATAATGCTGGTGTTACTTTCTTATGCAAGCACCAAAACTTCGCCAAAAAAAAATATTGGGAGCATTGTACCTTTATTATCCCTATAATCCTTGCCCTTGCTTCTAGACAATATGATGGCAGTGCAAGCTAGCCAGCATCTTCAGATTAGTCCATCCAAAAACACACCAAAGATAACAGTTGGATTGTATCATCCCTGAAACGCCATTATTAGAAATTCAGTTGGCACTTAATAGTAAATAGAAGTGCAGGGCTTGCTTATCATGCAAAATAGGCAAGAGATAAGCAAAAATGGTATATACCAACAAAGAGTATATGTCAACCTAAACCTGAAGCAGTAAAAATAGCCATCCACTTGCTGAAGGAAGAAATAAATGAAATATCAGGGAGTTCGTGTATCTCCTGCTCTGAAAGTGTTGTATATGATAAAATCAAAAAAGCGGAAAGCCTAAAAGTGACCGAACAACACTTTCAACGAGGTTTTGTTTATGCAAATAGTATATATCACCCGACATAACCATGGCCAAAAATACAAGATGGGTCAATAAAACTCTCCATCAATTTTGCCATCGAAGGAAGATGATCTTTGTGTAACACCAATCATTAGAGAAACCTCAAATCCAACTATATGGAGTGACTTTCTGAAAGAGTCCTATTTACATCAGTATATTACTATCATCCTATTTGCATCAGTATATTACTATCTGATTATCAATTAACATCAAAAGTCAGTTACCACTAAATTGTGAAACACTCGGACTATGACAAAGGAGAGTTTAACTCAATCCTTTGGTTGATACAAAAGCTGCAGATAGTAGCTAAGTATTGCAGAGAAAGGGCACAAATCTTCCATGAACGCAAGAAGATGCCATGAATGGATGATCTGGGTAATCTGATTCCTTTAAATGCAAAGATGGATTTGACCATCAATCATTATTTCTATGGCTCTGTAGCCAACACATATATTGGTAGCACCAAACAATATGTTCTCTGTTTGAGGTTTTAAAAGAGACAAAACCGTGAGAACTTGAAGAGAAAAAGAAATTCTTAAACTGAAGAAGGGAAAAAAGAGTAGATAGATCACACGCATACTACCATTATTCAGCATGTCCGGTCTATGATAGAACAATCAGCACTGATTCAGTAATTAGAAGGTCATTTCACGCATAGTGAAGATCACGAGGAATATATGTATTGGTGATGCTTTCCCTCCTCACCAGGCTGCTCCTTTTGTGGGGGTTGCGGTGAAACAAGTCTGCACAGAAAATCATGATTATGCATACCACCTAGAATAGAAATTAACCAGTGAGAAAGGTATATTTCATACAGAACAACTTTCCTGGCACCTTTACCAAGATAGGGAAAAGGTACTCGCTCAGTTCACTTATAAGACATTGTAGCCAATTCAGACATCACCCAAAACAGTTCATGTCAGCTGTCTGAAACGTCTTATAAAAGTGCACGGAGGGAGTATATCTAATTGTAACCACCTTCATATGATTCAATGAAAAAAATTCACAGGGTGTCACTTCTGCATAACAGGTTGATTTTACTGGAGAGAAAACGGAGTCGTACAACTTATTTGTTGGTGCAAATGTCCCTCTTGGACAGTCGTAAGAACCCATCTTTTGTAGTGCATGCATTACAGTCATTCCCTATTCCACCTACATTTACCCAGTAAAACCTCTACAGCCTGGACATTTTCTTTTAATACCAAACACATGTGCTCCCTTTTTAAGTGTGCGTTTGAAGCTTCAGAAAATTCAAAACGAATCTTACATGTACATGCCAGAGCGCACTATTTATCTTCAATGTTTTGTGAAGAGACATCATTTGATTTGCCATCTGCACCAAAACGACAAGAACGAGAGGCTAAAAAGCAGCTTCATCTGCTCTATTTTTCTGTTACAAGTTTCCTCATGCTTCCAAATGTTAAAAAAAATCACACTCATCAATGATTGATTATTCTGTGAACTTGCAAAGTCATAATAATGAACCATTGATATGTGTGAATTTTCTTGAAACATTTTCAAGCTGATGAAAGGGTTCATATAGAAAGGGGAAAGAGGCGGACGTGAGAATACCTGCAGACACCACAGCAGCTATATACACCTCGACACTTGCAAAGTCATAATAAATGAACCATCGATATGTGTGAACTTTCTTGAAACATTTTGAAGCTGATGAAAAGGTTCATATAGAGAGGGGAAAGAGGCGGGCGTGAGAATACCCGTAGACACCACATCAGCTATATACACCTCAACACCATGTTGAGCATAGATAGTTCTTGATACCAAAATAAGATAAATCTTAGTGTACTGACACTAAAAATTTTGGATATTAGTTGCGGCCACGATTATGTGATATCTACCAAACTTAAAAAAAGTGAGATAACAAAAAGGGAGGCATTTAGGAATCATTTTTTTTCCTGGAGGCAAAGAATTTAAGTCCTAATGCCACTATCCCCCAATTCTCTCTCTCTCTATCTTTCTTAGAAAAGATGCATTCTATATAGAAAATAGGTAACTGGAATATAAGCAAAATAAAATAAATCATAACATCAAAATGAGGAACAAACGTGACTTTGTTAGAAAGAGAGAGAGATAATCCACCTTGTTCTTCACCAAAATCTTCCTCAGGATTCTTCTTCTCTTCTTTCTCAGATCTACACACATCATGTAAAGAAAAATCAAGAAATGAAAATCAACTTTAGCTAGCTGACAAGGTCTGGATGCATCAGGAAAAGTTAACTCTGCTCTCGTGTAGTGGGTTAATAAAGTTGAAGTTTGCTGACCATAAAAAAGTTGCTGACTAACTCCATGAACACCAGCAGGGAACATTGCCATGGGAGGACCAACAGTTTGAGCCATTGAAACAGGACGTGTTTGTGTAAACCGTGCCTGCAAAAAACAATAATTTTAGTGCCCGAAAATCTAGTTGCTGCACAAAAAAGAAATTTATGTAGTAGTATTCGAGAGATTTGTTTCATATGCATGCTTCAGGAAAGTATAGTGTAGGACGACATAAGGGGCCATGGTGATGGCCTGAACCTGCACGCCCGCCATGGTGCTCATCCTTCCATTTCCATTGTGATGGCCTGCCTGCAGAAACCAATCCAACCACGGGGGTCATCCAGAAGAAGAAGAAGAAGAGGGTAGGAGGATGGAGGGCGTGCGTGCGTACCTTTGAAGTCTAGGTGCTGCAGCCCGTCGCGGGCGTCGAGGGCCACCGCAAGCTTCGCTCCCCACCCGACCAAGAGATGGCCACCGCCGTCATCATCCATGGGTGGGTGTGGGGCTAGGGTTCCGCCCCCATCCATCGATCGTTCCATCCATCCATGGCCTTCCTCGAGGACCACTTGGACGACGACGCGCCGGTGCAGGTGCCGCTGCGGATCTGGGCATCGCTCTGCTCCTCGATCTGGGGCCTCCCCTCTCCTTCCCTTCCCTTCCCTTGCTTTGGAGAGGAAGGAAGGTGTCACCCATGGCTCGCCGTGCCGAGTTGAACGCCCGCCGTCCTTTTGCCAAGAGAAGAGAAACCAAGGGGAGGAGGAGAGGGCCATGGCGGCGGCGGAGTGCATGGGAGGAGATGGAGCGGGGCGTGGGGTGCGGGGCTTGAGACGGAAGGGGATTGGGGGCTAGGTTTTGACCGCACGCCCTGCAGCCCACGGTCGTTGCGGCCCATCCTCTTTTCGAGCTGAACGTGCGCGCATGCGCTCACCATGACTGCAACAGAGGGCCCATGCAGAAGGGTGGCCCAGGCGTCATCCACTGTAACCCGAACACACAACGTACAGAAAAACGAACGCCCAGATATATACCAGCGAGATAGAAAGTACAACTTCAGTGGACAGCAAGGCAGATCGTGGGGCTGGATGAATTTGAAACCGCGAGGGCGCTGAAACGGCGGGTAGTGTAGGAGGCTTTATATGTTAGACTAGTTAAGCAAAATAAAGCACACATATGTCCCGCCGGGCAAGCCTAACGTGCAGTGGCTTGCAGTTTTGGTAGCTCCGTACGTCAAGCCAAGAAGCGTGACGCGATACTTTTGCTTTCGTTTTTCGGCCTTGGATATTGACGTGTCTCTTTCCCTTACTTGCAGTTAGCTGGTTGATTGACACTTGATATACGTTAAGTTCGTTCCAGCTAGGCCTAGGCGGGCGTGTGAAGTGCAGCAGAACAAGTGTTCCTGTCATAATCACCACTCTGTTCATCAGAAAGTTGCGTGTTTGGTTTTGGTATGTTGCACCGAGGGCTGTGCAAATCCGACCTGCTGACACCTGTTTTCTTATTACTCAAATCAGTTTTGTATTAGATCTTTTTTCTTAGTCAAATCTAGTTTATCTTATATTAGTATAATGTTGCATACAACCAGATACAGAGTAAATGAACCCACAAGCACAAAAATGACTCAAAAATGAACAACTATGACTATATGACCTGAAATTATCGCCAAAGGCGCAACTGAATTTGTAGTTGTTGCATAACCATAGCTCTGGTCGACAATGAGCAAAATCAAGAAATCCAACCACTGAAGTACCTGCAAATATATAGAGAGGAACACATGATCTGGAAGGAGGGCCTTGTTGACAGTAGGTTTCGCAATGTTATTAAGCCTCCGTTCCCCCGACTCTTCTTCCTTCCTTAAGTTCTAAAGAATGAGTTTTTGATGCCCAAACTAATGACCTGGTTTTAAAAGAGGAGTTCCCATATGAGAAAGAGGATTCTGAAGAAATAACAGGGTCTATGGATTTATAACCAAATAGAAATTCACATAGTTTACAAACATATGAATTTAAAATGTAGCAAATAAATTAAATAAAATAAAAACGATACAACTAATTGTTTCCTATGGGAATTCACATATACTCGGCCAAATTATTACGAAGTTTTTATAGGTTTCGAGATAAAGTAGTGCTTTGGGCCTTTCATGCGCAGCCTAGGTGGAAGGCGAAGAATATGAGATGACCGATCACGCAGTTCATGATGAAATTGGATGAAATGTGCAAACGTTGCCCTCCACTCACCGGCTCAACCAAATCACCCTGGTAATCCCACCCATTGGTCATAGATATTGTCATCACGCTCATCATCTACGATTATGTTATGCATGATCACACAGGTAGTCATCACCTCCCACATAGTTTCAACGCTCCATGTTGTAGTAGGGTGTCGAACAATAGCCCAGGGAGATTGAAGCACACCAAAAGCACGCTCCACTTCCTTCCTAGCACTCTCTTGTTCTTTGTCAAACCTAACCCTCTTCCGGCTCAGAGATTGTCTTCACAAATTTGGACCACGGAGGATAGATACCATCAGCTAGGTAGTATCCTTCGTTGTATTGCGGCCATTGAACTCATAGTTGACCTCTGGGGAATTGCCTTCTAAACTATCAAGAACATGGGAGAGCAATGAAGTACATTGATGTCATTATGAGAACCTGCCATGCCGAAAAAGGAGTGTCAAATCCAGAGATCTTGTGATGCCACAACTTCAAGTATAACGTGCAACCATGAACATGTCCCTTATATTGCCCCTGCCAAGCAAATAGATAGTTCTTCCACTCCCAGTGCATACAATCTATACTTCCAAGCATCCCTGGAAAGCCTCTCGAAGCATTGATCGATAATAACCTGGTTGTATCCTCATCATTAGCTTCTCTCAAGTACTTCAGGCCAAACACATTAACCACGGCTTTGCAGAACATGTACCATGACTCAAGGCCTGCGGACTCACTCATGTGTGCGTGCTCATCAACTAGATCACCGGGAACTCCTTATGCAAGCACCCGAACAACTGCAGTACATTTCTGATAAGAGGTGAGTACAACCTTTCCAAGGGCATCATACTTGCATTTGAAGTGATCCTCATAATTCACCACTCGCTGGCGAATACAGTTTTACAATGGTCTCGCCATCCGCAAGCATCGTCGAAAAAAACTTGGCAGGGAATAGTGGATTTGTGTGATGGAAATAATTGTTAAAGAGTAGGACATGGCCCCGTTCTTGATTCAACGCAGGTGCGTGAGCCTCGATCGACCCCTGAACATTGGACGCTGCCTCACAAACCCACAACTCTCATCGTCGGGGGATTCTTCGGACGATGATTAACATATGATGTTATTGTAAAGAAAAACTCATTCGAGTTATCCGTCATGATCGTTCATAGTGACGAATCTGTACCTCGCAAACAGGCCGGGCAAACGGCCGAACACCTAGTAGGCGTCGATGGCCAGGAGCATGGACGAGTCTCGGCCGGTGAAGACCCCGTCCTTTCCAGTTCCGAGAGCAGGGTCGTCGAACTCCACGGCCTCCGGTGGTGGCGTGCCGAGGGGCGGCAATGACCCCTGAGCAGGGTGTGGCACACAAGCTACACCGTCACGGCAAAGAGGCGGAAACAACGTCGGTGGTGGGGCGTCGGTGGTAGCTGGGCTTGGGTGGGGGGCGCCGGGGTGGCGGAGCGGATGGAGTCTAGGTGGCAGTGGCGAGGGTGAAGAGGCCGGGAGGTCGAGCTCGAAGGGTTTTGGGGTGTGGTGTTGGCTTGTGTGCGATCGAGAGGCGAGCCATGAAAGGATGTCGCAGGCATCCGTGGCGTGTCCACGCGACGGCCAAAATTTAAGCCTGAAACGAATCGAAGTGGATATGAAAACGGACAATAGTCCATTTGCATCAACCCGTTGGGCATAGTATTTTCTGCACGAACAAAAACAAATGTGCGAAAACAAAATGAGTCAACCCATTGGAGTTGCCAAAAGCACGCCGATGCGAAAAATCATTTGACAAGCCGTTCTCAAGTTCATCGAACCTAGCCCTCTGGACGTCTACTTCCTCACCGTTTCCCGTTGCATGTGGGCATCATCCTAGCTGATGCTACCGTACCAAAGTTAAGCTAGATTTTTATTTGGTCAAGTAGTCTAATCACCCCCCCCCCTCTAGACATACTTTCGATCCTACAACAAGTCAGAGAGGCGGTAGTGCCGCCGGAGCGGTACTATTGCTCTCACCAGCGGTACTATCGCGTAGTGTTGAGCGAGCAGGTGAAACAACGGTAGTAGAGACGGATAGTGCGGTAGTGCCGCACGGAGTGGTACTACCGCTTGATATTGCCGCTCTACTTCCGCTCGAAGAACAGAGCAGTACAGGAGGCATAAAATAAGCAATAGAGAAACAACGGCAGTTCCACCGGAGCGGTGCTTCCGATGCACTGTTAGAAGCCGAGTACATCTGCGGTAGTGGGGTGCTAGTCAGAGCCACAGTACCTAGGGAGCGGTACTACGGCGTTGAACCACCGCCCAACTACCGCTCATTTACAGAGCACTAAAAATAAGCGGAAGTGCTAGTAGCACTGAACTGCGGTAGTACAGCTGGAGCGGTACTACCGCTTATATGCCTTAAGTAAGCCCATGCATAAGATAGGAAAAGCTCCAGTACCGGGAAGGAAAGTGGGTGCAAAAAGACTATGTACGTGCTGATTCCACCCAAGCCTTTTCGAAGTGGACCCATTCTTAATAGTATGGTGATCCTACGACTCAAATCCATAAAAAATGAAACGCAAGAAAAACAACCGTCTTCTCTATATATCTCTAAGGGGCACAAATCATCTTGTTCCTATGATAGATTCTCTGAAATGCTCAATGCCACGATTAGTCCACAAAAGCATTGTCATCAATCACCAAAACCACCAAGGGAGAAATATGCCCTAACAACATGGCCCCGTTCTTGATTTAACGTAGGTGCATGGCCCTTGATCGACCCCTGAACAATGGATGTGGCCTCACAAACCCACAACATCTATCTCATCGTCGGACGATTCTTCAGACGATGATTAACATATACTATTATTGTAAAGAAAACTCATCCAAGCTGTCGTTATGATCGTTCGGAGTGATGAATCTGTACCTCACAACCAGGTTAGGCAAACGCCCGGACACCTAGTAGGCGTCAATGGCCACGAGCATGGACCAGTCTCGACCGGTGAAGATCCCGTCCTTTCCGGTTCTAGGAGCAGGGTCGTCGAACTTCATGGCCTCCAGTGGTGGCGTGCCGAGGGGCGGCGATGGCCCCTGAGTAGGGTGCAGGACGCGAGCTACACCTTCAACGACAAAGAGGTGGAAACAACGCCAGTGGTGGGTGTCGGTGGTGGTTGGGCCTGGGTCGGGGCGCGGGGGTGGCGAAGCGGAAGGAGTGTGGGTGGCGGCGGCGAGGGCGAAGAGGCCGGGAGGTCGAGCTCGGAGGGTGTTGGGGTGGGTGTTGGCCTATGTGCAACCGAGAGGCGAGCCATGAAAGGATGGCGCATGCATCCGCAGCGTGTCCACACGAACGCAAATCCGGCCAAAATTTAAGCCGGAAACGAATCGAAGTGGACATGAAAACGGACAATGGTCCGTTTACATCAACGCGTTAAGCCATAGTATTTTCTGCACGAACAAAAACAAACGGACAAAATGGGCCAGCCCATTGGAGTTGCCAAAAACACGCCGATGCGAAAAATCATTTGACGAGCCGTTTTCAAGTTCATCGAACCTAGCCCTCTGGACGTCTACTTCCTCACCGTTTCCCGTTGC